CTTTACAATGTTCTCTCTGCCACTTTCAGGAGCTGCTATGGCCTACTCACTGAATTACTGTCTTGACCAACCCCATCTCTGACTGTCAAGAGGCAGGAGGAGTCTGAGACATCTTTCCAAAATCATGTGGTCAAAGGGTCAAAACTTCAGCATTCCTCATCTTCTCCCAAGGGGCACTATTTTTCTCAGGAGCACCCTCCATTGATTTCCATTCTTTCCTGACATATACCTAAAAGCTTCCTATAGCTGTTTGAGCCCATCCTTTTCCTGGCCACCTACTAGAGAAATCTCACTTGTCTCTATCCTTAAAGTACCCGGAAATGAGCATATGCTTGTGGATTAAACAAATGAGTTAACGGATAATATCGGTTTCAAAGAGGACAGACTAGCATTTCTTTCAGGCGTACAGAGACCCCATCTGGTGCCATATGCTTTTTTTTTTTTTTTTCCTGGTCTCTTAGGTCTCTGAGAGCACAGGAGATAAGATTTTTACCTGACATAATTAAGTCCTTAAAAGCTCCATTTGGGTTTTTTTTTTGTTTGTTTCTTGGTTTGTTTTTGTTTTTGCAATCTCTTCCTCTCCAGTTGCAGCCAAAGAGAAGACATAGACTGTGAGGCTGCACTAATCAGCCCAACAGACAAATAAGGCCAGAGAGCCTACGCCTGCTGCTCACATAAGCAACAGCCCAAATTCAATCCAACTGCTCAACAGAGAGACTTGGACATCTGGGAGCTTCCCTAGATCAGTGAGGTGCATGTGTGGCTTGGACACAGAACTGAGTACAAGGTAGGCCTATCGCTGGCAATTTCTTTGGGAAAATCTGGGTGGTTAGAAACACTCAGGATTGTCTAGGAGATGAACACAGCAGGAGTGGAGCACGGGGACTAGGTCTCCAAGAGGAATTCTCATTCCTTTCATAAGGAGACAGGAAGAGCCCCTGGGGAGCTCTCAGTGATAGGCCCAGGCCTGGTTCAGCTGCTGAGATGCAGCCGGGCCAATTAAATAATTGTGATGGGAAAAGAAGGGAAGCCACTCCTTTCAGGCAAACTCCCATCCCAGACAGGAGGCTCCACGCAGCTGTGGCAACAGCAGCAGCAACAACAGGGCAGGGATCTCTTCCTCTTCCTCCCACTAGCTGAGAACTAATGCTTAAATTAGCACCTTGGAAACACCCAGATCTGCCGGCTGTGCCTTCTCTCCCAGCTCCTGCCACTCCCTTAGGCCTCCTTTTCAAGCTTGAGGTTCTCTTTCAAGTAAATAAAAAAAATAAATAAAAATCTTCTTTCCCTAGAAGAGCTTTTCAAGTAAAGAATGCCTTCTGGATTCTTTCCACCACTATGGGCTAGGGAGGGTTATTATTATTATTTTTTTAAGATTTTATTTATTTATTCATGAGAGACAGAGAGAGAGAGAGAGAGAGAGAGAAGCAGAGGGAGAAGCAGGCTCCCAAGGAGCAGGGAGCCCGATGCGGGACTCGATCCCAGGACTCTGGGATCATGACCTGAGCCAAAGGCAGACGCTTAACCGTCTGAGCCACCCAGGCGCCCCCTAGGGAGGGTTATTTTAATGATGGAGTCCCTGTGACAGGCCTCCATCAGTCCAGCTCGGTCCAGATGCTGATACCAGCATTGCCTTGTTTCCATTAGGGCTAAAGGAAACAGCCCCCACTCTGCCTTCAGAGGGGCTCACACTGAAGGAGTGAGCATGAACAATAAACTTCTGCCAAACTGTATCTGTGTTGCTAACTACTGTGTCCCCAGTACCTCGTGTAATATCTGGAACAGAGCAGACACTACATAAATATCTGGTGAATGAATTAGCTAAAACAGTGATACCAGCTCCCTATGATAGTCCTTGGAAGACAGAGTGAGGAGCTCTTGTTTAAATTTTAAAGAGATAGTTTGTCTTCGTTTCATAAATGAGAAAACTGAGTCCCGAGAAGAGGAGAGACTTCCTAGAGGTCTCAATAAATAATGGTAAAAAAATGAAATAGGTCACAGTTGAGTCCAAGCCTGGGACCCTAGTTTTTATGGTCTACCCAAATACCTCTAAAGAGCCACTTTGCCCTTCTCCTCTGTGGTATACCATTTTGATTCCTTATGCCCTGAAAAAAGGCTCTTTCGGAAACTCCATGCAGGGGTCTGCTGGTCTCAATAATACACAGAGCATTTAAGGAGTTCCGGGGATCCTCTAGACTTCAACCTGGGAACAGACTTCAAGAGGCAGAGGTCTCTGGGGCAATGTCTATGCCCCCAAATGGAGGGATGACTGTATTGATGCTTCAATACAAAAGGCTCTCATCAACCTCAACACAGTATCCTCTTGCAGAGAAGGGCTCCTTTAGCCTTCAAGAAAAAGGTCTGAGGAAGCCTTTTCTGATAAGTCCCTTCTTGCATAAGCATTTCTACTCTAGAGTCACAGAGACCAGAAGCACCTCAGGAGTTTTCTGGGATCACTATTCACTCAAACTATCATTGAGAACTTCAGGCAATAACAAAGGCACCAAGGACAACTAAGAAGGCCTTGTGACCCCATTCCTCCCCCCCGTTCCTTGGACAACTATTGCCTACCTTCTTAGGAACCTGAGATGGGAGGCAAGAACTAACTCATTGCTTTCTTCTCCTGACTCACTTGGACCTCCTCCTCCTACTTCATCCACCCTCCCTTTTGATTCTTGATTAGATGCTAAGAACTGGAAGGGCAATCTAGTTTGACAAACCAGGCTGGAAAGATAATCCAGAAAGGAATGTTAAAGTTAAAGTTCTTCCAGTTCATGGGACAGACTTCTCATCAGGATTTTCTGGCCGCCAAATATTCCAATGACGGCATCAGTCTAGGAAAAAAGTCCATCAGCATCTCTTTCCCCACTTTCATATTGTATACTTCTGTAAAGCTTCTCTGTTTGGGCTTCTAGAACTAAGTAGTCATAAGAAGGGGGAAAGGCCACTTATCTCCTGATAGGTGGCTCCTAATGATTCTCTCTACCATCCCCCAAAAGGTGTGGCTTAGAGTGGGTCATCGGTCCCTGCCAGGGTCTGTCTGGTCTGCTGTAATGGGTAGGTTACTTGCTCAGGAAGCTACAAAGCACATCTTTAACCAGGGGCCCAAAGGCCCAAGAGTGGAACCTATTCCTCACCTCTCTATCTAACATAGAAGGAGGAGCTTTAGGGAGCCCCAGATCTTCAAGCTTTGGAGAGCTCTGCTCTGCTCTGCTCCAGCAGAGCTTAGAGTATAGTGCATCCACACCTTCAGGCTCCTGGCCTGCCCTGTCTCCTTCCAGCTCCCCTTCGGGCTCCAAGGAGAAGGGAGATGGAAAAGTGAACAGAGCAGGGCACTCCCTCCCTTCCCCCTCTCCTTATATCAGCTGGCTAGGCCTCGGCGGCGCCTCTCGCCCAGCTGCCCACCGCCGGGCGTACAAGCCAGTCAGGTAACCCCCCTGAGCGGTGGCCATCGGGCATGGTCTCCCCTAGGGCTGGCCTCGGTCGCCTGCCTCGCCCTCCCCCTTCCAAGCCCTCCGCGCCGGCAACGATGACATCATTCCTCCCAGACTCCGGGACCGCGGACAGGCAGCAGGATGGGCGCCCAGAAAAGACTCAATACACGGAGGCCGAGGATGCTGGGGGCTCTTCCGAAAGGGTGGGCACTGGCGGCCCCAGCGCGACCCCGCCCCCTCTCCCGTCGGTTCCCGAGCTCTCTCATCCGCGCCCCTGTTTCTCCACCTCCCCGCTGCTCTCTCTCCTCCGCGACTCCGGCTCTAGCACCCCCCTGCCTAAGACTGCCTGCGCTCTCCTCAGGAGAAGAACGGAATTCAGGGGTCTTGCACCGACCCCCTGCCCCCACCGGACCTTGGTCCCGGCCCCGCGTTCCCATCCCTAACCAGAGAACTGGAGGGCTGGCCCCCCTCCTCCTCTGCCAGCCTATTCCCAGTCCCTTTTAGCCTAATTGCACCTGGCCCACAGGAAGCATCACAGGCCTCTAGGGCTAAGTGGCTCCTCACCTCTCATCCCAGCCCCCTGGGCCTGCCAGCGGCGGTGCCCCATGACAGTTCCTTTCCTTTCCCAGGTAAGGGCCTCCACTAGCAGTGTACACCATTGTGCCCCAAACGTTCCATCCGACGGCCCTCCCCGTAGCTCCCTTGGCCTGTCTCTGCTGACGGTGCCCTGAGCCTTTACAGGCCTCTTTGCTGTCACCCCGCGTATTTCCCCACGGTTTTCTTGTCCTGCAAGTCCTCCCTCCCCCCGCGATGCGATTTCAAGGCTCCCTTTGACCCATTCTAAGGCGTCCCCTCCGCAGTTACCAAGGCCTGATTCCCTCCCTCCCCCTCGGGCAGCGCCCCCTCCCGGTCCTGGCCTGCCCGCCGCCCGCCCCCTCACCAGCGGCTGCATCTCCGAGTGCGCGGTGGGCACCTGGAACCGGTCGATCTCCTCCATCATGGTGCCGGCGGGCGAGCGGGCCGGGGGCCGGGCGCGGCCAGGGACGCCGACGGGACCGCGCGGGGCGGCGGCCCCAGGAGTCGGGTGGGTGGTGCAGACTAGGCCGCCCGGGACGAGTCGGGCGGGCAAGCGTCCAGGCCGATGGAGGGGTGGGCTCGGGGCCGGAGGTTCGCTGGCTGGCTGAGCCCGGCGTGGCTCCGTGGGCTTGCCTTAGTGCTACCGCGGCTGTGGCCGGGCAAAGCCGCAGGTCTTGCCTCGCCTCCTCCTCCGCCGCCGCCTCCTGTCAGCAGCTCAGCCACTGCGGTGACTCGGCAACTCCACTTCCGGGTCCGGGACACCGCCTGAATCTGCATTATTCATGAGGAGGCAGTGCCTGGGTGCCCCAGCCCCTCCCACATGCCGGAGTTCTACTGCGAGCTGCCGAGGGTCGTATTATTCCTGAGGGGGCGGGTCTTAGTGCAGCCGGAGGTTCCTCGCGCGCCCAGCCCCGCCTCTCCCTCGAGCCGGGAGGGGGCGTCAGAGGCGCCTGCGCCTTGGCTAACGGTTGGTTGCTGGGCAACCGCGTCAGGGAGGAGCAGATTCAATGCTGCAAGGGCGCGGGGACCCACAACGACGGCTGTCCCCAAAGAACCCCTGCGACTGGGAATTGAAGTGAAAAAGAATCCAGATTTCCTGTGCGTAATCGAGGGGACAAACTCCTTGTCCTCAGGGAAGAGAGCATTTTGTAGGTGTTCCAAGTGTTGAGGTGTTTCCTGCTTCTTCCAAGATGCCCCAGAAACAGCCGCCTCGTAGGCAGGTAAACACACATCCCGACTGCTCTCTCCCAGTGACCTCTGACCTTCACCACCAATGATCACTGATCATATTTCTACTGATCCTTCATTTTCTTTTCCCTGTTGACCCTTAACCTTCTCTTTCCCTGTGACCCCTGGCCTGTGTTCCCACTGACCTCTAACCCTGTCCTTTGCCCCTCTAATCCTAGCTTCCTCTCCCACACTGCCCCTGCCCCACTATTTCCACTTGTCGTCCGTCCCCTTTCCACTTGTCGTCCCCTCACCTTTCCATTCCCTCTGTCCACTCATACCACAGACTCTCCTGACCAACTTATCCTCCTTACCCCCCACCCTCACTCCCACTAATGCATCCCTCATTGCCCTCACATTCTTGTCCCAAAGAAATTCTCTTTCCAGCCCTTTGCTGTATGCCCAGTGCTGGGCTAGGTGGGGACACAGGCCTTTGAGAGCCCACAGAAGGAGTGGAAGAGAATTGTACAGCAGACACAGAACAGATTATACACAGGAGTTTGGCTTAGATTTTCTGTGCTGGGCTTCTTGTCAAGAGACAGAGGTCAGGTAAAGAGGAAGAGGAGAGAGACCTTTTGCCCATTCTTGCCTGACCTCCTACTCACACACTTGCACACACCAAACACTGGCCCCTGACTATTTCTGGAGCCTCATGTGTCCCTCTGCTGTGAGCTCCTGGGCCACTCCTATGACTCATTCAGCCATGTGAACTTTGGGTCCTTGTTGCCACCTGGCCAGATGTCATTCCTTCTCACAGGAAACCCAAGAGTTAGCCCCTTCACCCACCAAGTACAGAGTTCTACTTTCCTCCCCAGCATCACTCTGGAAGGTGAGGTAAGGCCCAGCTTCTCAAGGATCCCTCTGTGGTTGCCACTCAGTCCTTTAAGAATTCATTTTTTCTCAACCCTTTTTGAGTTATCACCTTGGGACTAATATACAGTTTCTGGCTCTGTGAAGCAGGGCTTCTTTTATTTATTCTAAATTTTCCTCACTCAGATCTAGGTATTTTGAGGTTTGGAGAGCAAACCTGTGTCCATGATGTTTGTGACTTTACGTATTTTGGTCTGGCCTTCTCCATATTAGCCTTTGCTACTTTGCTTCTTTCACTGGGCTTTCCATAGCAGGTGGACTCATCTTTCTTAGATCTCTGCAACCATGAGGAGGCTGATATTCCTGTATGGCCATGCCCTAGTTTTATGTTGGGGTTGAGCTCTGGGTTGAAGCTCATGTATTGTGCTTGGGCCTACTGACTTTAATTTACATGAAGTTTGTTTTAAATTCAGCATTACTGATGTCTTATTCACATACAATGAAATGAACATTTTAATTGTACACGTTGACAAGTTTTGAAAAATTTATATAGTTGTGAACCACCACCACGATTGAGATAGAGGACACTTCCTCTACCCCCAGAGTTTCCTTGTGCCTCATCCCAGTCAGTTCTCCCCAACCCCCCACCCCCAGATAACCACTGCTTTCTGTCACTGCAGATATTTGTCTTTTCTAGCACTTATAGTTTGAACAAGCTTGGGGTCAGTTTCTCCAGCCCATTAGGGGAGACATTAGAGGCTAGTTTCACTGACAGCAGAGAGAGGTGACAGCAGACAGAAGCAGAGAAACCTGGGTCAACTCACCCGGTACATATCAGCACTGCCCCCTGGAGGGAAGGGTTGTTTTAATATTGTGTAAATATTGGTGTGTGGGGTGTGAGAAAAGGATGGGTTGTGCTAGGCTGTATTCTTTTTTTTTTTTTTTTAAGATTTTATTTATTTATTTATTTGAGACAGACAGAATGAGAGAGACAGAGAGCACATGAAAGGGGGGAGGGTCAGAGGGAGAAGCAGGGAGCCCTGCCGAGCAGGGAGCCCGATGCGGGACTCGATCCAGGGACTCCAGGATCATGACCTGAGCCGAAGGCAGTCGCTTAACCAACTGAGCCACCC